TCTCTCTCTCTCTCTCTCTCTCTCTCTCTCTCTCTCTCTTTCTTTCTGGCTAATACCTGCTTATTAGTGAGACCATACTATGCATGTCCTTTTGGGTCTGAGTTACCTCACTCTGGCTGATATTTTCTAGGTCAATCCATTTGAGTGCAAAACTCAGGATGTCTTCCTTCTTAATAGCCGAGTAATTTCCATTTTGGAAATGAAGCACAATTTCTGGATCTTTTCTTCTCTCGTGAGACATCTGGGTATTTCCAGCTTCTGGCTATCACAAATAAGTCCGCTATGAACATAGTGGAACACTGAGCCCTGTGGCATGGTGGGGCATCTTTTGAGTATCTTTCTAGGTTATATAAACAGTACTTAAAGAGAAAAGTGTAGTATAAAAGTAATTTCTACCCAGTTACATAAATTAGGAGAACACTCACTAGCTTGTCTGAACTAGATCTGTCCTCAGGAGAGAGAAGATAAGAGCAGATAGTCCTGTAGGGATAGTTCTCTTGCCTCTGCTGCTTGATTTCAGCTCTGGCAAATGCTCATTATTATACATGAGCAATTTCCCTGGTGTCTTACTATACCACTGGGACTTAGATCCAATTCGTTAAAGGAAGCAGTTTTACTGATTTTCACTCATGACTCTAGTGGTCTAATTTTTATCCTGCCATAATTATTGAAAACATTTCTGTATTTCAGAAGAGTGGTAATAGACACTTTTCATCCTTTCTTCATGTGATGCTATGTTTAATTTCCTTTTGTTCTTGAAGTGTTTTCAGGACATAGAAACATTCTTCTAATTTAAATAAATATCTTCCATCACTTTTCTTTCTACAGGTTCCCTAGTGAGTACTCAGTAATGATCTTTCATATATTTGTCAATTTTGGGTGGTTTTCTTTGATATTTTGTTTACAGTTTGGCCTTTAGATTTAAGAGTTCTTGGAATCTTCCATGTATTTCATTACACTTAAGATAATCCTGTGTTTTTTCCCTTTGGTTGAATTAGGAAAATGTTTTTGCTATTCTTATGGATTTCTTTTCCTCGCAATTTTACTTCTTTAAATTATTCTTAGGAGTAAATGTAGATTTCTCAGACTCTCTTTATAATTTAAAACACAGATGCAGATGATTTTAGAATCATCTTTATTTGATAATTTCATATAAGTATAGAAATCCACTGCCTACTCACCTGCATGAATCCCAAGGTATCCCCAAACTTCTCTCTAAACTGCACATGTCTTCTCCTACTCTTGACTTCAAATACCAATATGTAAAATATTGAATTTTGACCTAATATTGTAGGGATAACAATTAACCACACTGTCTTCATGCGTCAATGCCTATACCATGGTTGGAGGACAGCATTTCTGCATGACCTGATGGCTTTAAGTAATCTGTCTTGAAATTCATATTTTAGTGATAGCAAAACCTCAATATTTCACATTGTTTATTAGTATGTAATTTCAATAGTTATGGGATTTTATTTGAGTTTATAGTTCCTTTTTTATACAGTGAACATATTTTTATATCATTGAACAATTACTAACTTTTTTCCTCATAGTAGGAACATGTGATCTATCATAAGGCTGATTTTCGGAGAATTACTTACATGTCCCTGGTTCACCATGAGTCAAGAAATATTTTAACATGTAAAAAAACCTCCCAGCTGTCTTTTCATTTTCATGCTTTAAAAACATTATTTTTAGAACTATTTTGTTTAAAAAGAGTCTGTCTCTGAAATGTTTCTGTTTTATAAACAACATTACCATCAGGAAGAAATGCATACATCTTTGCAAATATTAGTTAGATCTTAACATGTTTGAAATTCTCTGAGAACACAATATTTTACAGTAATGTGAATTAAAACCTATGTGAATTATTTCTCTATCTCATGTGTGGTTTTCTATAAGAATACTTTGCTTTTTAAAATTATACAGAATTTTTCAGATATTCCACAAAATATCAGAAGCTTTCATTTAATTTCTTATGCTCTATTTGTGTGTGTGAGTATGTGTGTCTTCACGCATGTGTATGTGTGCTCATGTGTGTGGTGTTTGAATGTGTTCTCCTAGAATATGTGATTTCTGAGTCATGAGGTATATATTCACCTTTAGATGACTAACTCTACATTCTGAGCTAATGCACACATGAGTTCCTTCCTATTTACATTACAACCACAAGAACAGAGCTCTTCTTACACATTCTAAGATATTTTTGCACAATTGTTAGTCTACAGATAGCAAAATGTAAATAGTGTGAGATGTCCTTGTTCATAAAATTCAAGTAACCTGGCATGTTATGATAGAGTCTTGGAGGAATATTCAGCAAAACACACACACACACACACACACACACACACACACACA